TAAAGAAAATTGGGAGTAAAAAAAGAGGGGGGGGGGGGGAGAAGGAATGGAAGACAACTATAGACACCAGAGATAGTTTGAGAAGAAGGTGGGAAAGGGCAGAGGGTCAGATATAGGGGTAAATGTAGATAGATAGATAGATAGATAGATAGATAGATAGATAGATAGATATGAAACTAAAAAAAAGAAAAATAGAATCATACTGCAAAACAGAGACCAGTAGATGGCAGAATGATTATGTTGCTGAACTTACACACAGCTGTTCGTGGTTTGAATCCTGGACCTGGCAGCTTGAAACTCATTGGGTGCATGTGTGTGTATGCCCAAAATCCCAAGAGGAGAATAGGGGAGAAGGGATTGTGGTGTGGCCATCCCCCCGGGTGGTGATTTTTCACTTTCTGTCTCTCTGTCTCTGTCTCTCTTCAGTGAGCACAGGAGCTCTATAACAAAAATCTCTCTCTAGAAATGAAGAATCATACTGCAAAACAACTTGTAAACTGTCTTTTTTTTTTTTAGAAGTGACATTATATCATGAGCATTTCCACATGTTAGAAACATTCTTTACAAGTAGTGTTATGAATATCATATACTTATATAAATATATATTAGCCAATTTTTGGAGAGATTTTTGCTATAGGGTGTGTGCACTTACAGGAGAGAGAGAGAAAGCGAGAGCGAGAAATCATCCCCCAGGGAGTATGGCCATATCACAATCCCTTCTCCTCCATTCTCCTCTGAGGATTCTGGGCATGCACACACATGTGCCCAGCATGTTGCAAGCTGCCGAATCTGGGATTCAAACCATGATTGGCCACGAGGTAGTCCAGCACCTTAACCACTATACCATCTGCTTGCCTCTTTCTTAATCAATTTTTAATTAACACTTTGACTACTACTTTCATGTTTTTCTTTTACTCTTTTCCCTAATATCACCAGTGTTGTAACTGACAGGTGTGTGTGTGTGTGTGTGTGTGTGTGTGTGTGTGGTGTGTGTTGCAGTTTTTGGAAAACCTTTCTAAATCCATTGGTAGCATAAATTTTTAGTAATAGAATTGCTGGGCCAAAAGGTACATGCATCTTATAGTTTGAGAAATATTATCGTATTGACTTCCAGAAGTTTGTATCAATTGATAATTTTGTCAATAATCCAGGTGAGTTCTCTTTTCTCTGTCCCTGTAGCACATCTTGTATGTGTGTCATCACCTTTAATACGTCTGCCTTTTAAAAGGGTGAAAAAAATCTCAGTTTTTTATTTATTTGGTGAGATTGAGCATTAAAAAATTAAAAATTAAAAATTGGTGTTATTTGGACCAGCAGTTGGTGTAATGGCTATGTCACTGGACTCTCATGGAGTCGACCATGGTTTGAACCCTGGACCCAGTGGCTTAAACTCAAGTCGGGCACGTGTGTGTGTATGCCCAAGATCCCGAGAAGAGAATGGAGGAGAAGGGATTGTGGAATGGCTGTCTCCCCTGGGGGGTGATTTCTCACTTTCTGTCTTTCTGTCTCTCTCTGTCTTTCTGGCGAATGCACTTGCCCTATAGCAACAACCTCTCAAAAAAAAAAAAATTGGTGTTAAAAATATTGAGTTAGTGGACTCTGTAAATTAAGAAATTAAACTCTTATCTATAATATGTATTGCTAATTTTCCTTGATGTTGTTTATCTTTAAAACTTTGTTATTGGCATTTTTTGGCCAGACCTAAGTTTTCAAATTTAAAAAGTAATTTTTTTTGAGAGGTTTTTGCTATAGGGCGCGTGCGCTCGCCAGACAGACAGAGAGAGACAGAGAGACAGAAAGCAAGATATCATCCCCCAGGGGGGATGGTCACACTGCAATCCCTTCTCCTCCATTCTCCTCTCGGGATCCTGGGCACGCACGCACATGTGCCCGGTGTGAGTTTAAGCCACCGGGTCTGGGACTCGAATCGCGGTCGACTACATGGGAGTCCAGCAACACAGCCATTACACTAACTGCTGGTCCCTATAAAGTAAATTTTATTCAGTGTTTTCTTTTAGAGTGCTGGGTTTTGCATTCAGCTTTAAAAGACTGTTTCTCCTCCAAGGTTATAAGTATAATTATTTATGGTATTTTCTAAAATTTAATTGTTTAACATTTTATACCTAAAGCTATAATTAACTCACTGTTACTTTTAATATGAAGAATAGGGACCAGCAGATGGTATAATGGCTACATTGCTGGACGCCCACATAGTCGACTATGGTTCAAATCCCAGACCTGGAGGCTTAAAACTCACCCCAGGCCCATTTGCATGAGTGCCCAAGATCCTAAGAGGAGAATGGAGGAGAAGGGATTGCAGTGTGACCATCACCCTTGAGGGGGAAGTAATTTCTCACTTTCTGTCTGTCTGTCTCTCTCTGTTTTTCCAGTGAGCACGCATGCCCTATAGCAAAAATCTCTCTCTAAAAAAAGAAAGAATACGTTAGAGATATTTTTCTCACATGTTTTTCCCAATTACATCACAATCCAATTTAGATTAAGTTCTCGAGGTTCACATCTGGAGACCTCTCCAAGTGCACAGGGCACATGCGTGCCCATGATCCAGGGCTGGCTGAAGCTGGAGGGGCCTCATGGTATCAAGGTCCTGTTGGAGGTACACTCACTCTCTCTTGCTCATGAGAAAAAGAAATACATTGAAAAAAAAAAACATAATAAAGTAGCCCAGGAAAAAACAGTGATAACAGAGAAAGGGCTATGTTAATGGGACCAATAAGAAGGGCATGAAGGTGGTAAGTG